TTAAACAATGTTGACTTTTTTTGTTCTATCAGACAAATTATTAGCTGATCGCCTGAAACTTGTGGGTACTTAGTGTTACACTTTGTAATGATCCATTTTGGTTTTGTCTTTAGTTTTTAGGATGACTCCTTTATTCTTAAGGCACAGCCTCTCTGAGTTTTAAAAAAACAAACAAACAAACAAACAAAAAAACAAAACCCCAAAAACCAAAAAAACAAAACTCAAGGTGTTTACCAAGCTCTTATAATTGGATGGGATTCAAATTCCAAACTGTACAGGTAGTAGTTGTAGACATTAGGCAGCAGTTGAAATCTCTGCTCAGCTTTTCAGCTTTCCAGCTATTGTTTTCCACTGGGCTCACTGGCATCTCGCCAACACATATGCAGTTTAGGGGTCATCCAAGGATTGAGAGAAATTATATAAAGAAGTGGAACTCTATTCTGTATGGTTCCTTGCTTTCTGGATTTTCCTCTCTGAAAGTCCATCTACACTGGCAGCCCTGAACTCCACCTTCTGACACTTCAAGCAAACATGACTGTGGCTGGCTTTCTCCTTCAATTCTAGTTCCTCTTGTGGATTGAAAGTGCTCTCAGGAGAGAACCTGTATAAATGTAGATCTCAACCAGTCTATTTCCTTCTTTGAAGGAACAAATTCCCAACATTATCTGCCTTCTTTTAGTCAACCTCTAATGCCTTCAAATAGTTTTTTAAAGGAATATTTTGTTCAGAGTTTATAATAGTTATCGAGGGAGAGTTAATCTAATATAAGCTCTTCTATTATTGACATAACTGGAACTCTCTCACAGAAGTTTTAATTTATGGGTTTGTGTGTGTATATGTTAAGAATAAATTATACCTCTCACCTTTATGAATACTCATAGGATCATTAAATATTATATCTTGAGGGGATCATCAGGTATTATCCAGACAACTCTGTCCTATCAGGCAATGACTATCTAAAACTTGTCATGATTAATCTCCTGTTTTTATTTATTCATATATTAGTTTCAGGTGTACAACATAATGATTTGACATACAGTTGACCCTTGAACAATGCAGTCAGTGCCCCAACCCCCATACAGTTGAAAATCCATGTACAACTTTTGACTCCCCCAAACTTAACTACTAATAGTCTATTGTGACTGGAAGCCTTACTGATAACATAAATAAGTCAATTAACACAAATTTTGTATGTTATATGTATTACATACTGTATTTGTACAATAAAGCTAGAAAAAAGAAAAGGTTATTGGGAAAATCATAAGGAAGAAAAAGTACATTTACAGTATTGTACTGTATTTTATGGAAAAAAAAACCCACATATAAGCAGATCCGTGCATTATAAATCTGTGTTGTGTAGGGGCCAACTGTATGTATATACTGTGAAATGATCACCATAATGTCTAGTTAACATCCACGCCCACACATAGTTACAATTTTTTTCTTGTTTTGAGACCTTTTAAGATCTATTCTCTTAGCAACTTTCAAATATACAATAGAGTATCAACTATAGCCACCTATACTATAGTCAATTAGAGTCAACTATATAGTCAATTGTTCATTACCTCCCCAGGACTTATTTATTTTACAACTGGAAGTTTGTACCTTTTGACCGCCTTCCCCCATTTGCCCATTCCTCGCCCACACCCCACACCCCTGCCTCTGGAAACCACCAATCTGTTTTTTTTTTAAGATTCCACATATATGTGAGATCATATGGCATTTGTCTTTCTCTGTCTGACTTATTTCACTTAGCATAATGCCCTCAAGGTCCATCCCTGTTGTTAAAAATGGAGGATTTCCCTCTTTTTTATGGTCAAATAATATTCCTGTGTGTGTGTGTGTGTGTGTGTACATGTGCATGCATTACGTTTTCTTTATCAATTCATCCATTTGTGATCACTGAGTTTATTTCCATGTCTTGGCCATTTTAAATAATGCTAATGTCTTACTTTTAAAAGAGGCCAGGGAGGAAAGTTGTTTCTTCAGGAAATGAGTTTCCCTGTCTGGAGACTACCTTTTATATACTATAATTTAAATCCATATACTGGCTTTAAATGACTCACAGGGTCATTGAATTATACAGATAGATGGATGTATAAGCATTAATGAAACTGAGTTTCCCACTAAACCATGAACGTGAAAGAGGTATCTTTCCTCATGTTTTGTGTGTACGTCATCTACACTTTTCTTTGCTCTGCTCCTTCACCCCTTCAGCTCCCAGTGGAGCTCATCATTTTTGGTCTGTTTTACTTAGGTTCTTTCACCTTGTTTCATCTTCTGGCATCTATTCTATACACTCTCTGTTCTCCCAACTTGGCTTCTGAATCATTCTGGTTGCTCTGAACCTTAATATCATGAATTGAATCTTTTCTCCTCAAAATTCATATGTTGAAGCTCTGGCCTCCAGTACCTCAGAATGTGCACAGGGTCTTTTATGGGGTAATAAGGTAAAAATAAAGCCATTAGGGTAGGCTCTAATCCAATATAACCGGCATTTTTATAAAAAGGGGAAATTTGGACACAGACACACCCAGAGGGAAGATTATGTGAAGAAACACAGGGAGAATATGGCCATCTGTAAAACAGAGAACAAGGCCTGGAACAACAGATCCTTCCTTCACAGAAGAAACCAACCCTACTGACTGATTTTAGACTTCTAGCCTGCAGAACTGTGAGACAGTAAGTTTCTGTTGTTTGAAGAACCCAGTCTGTGGTACTTTGTTATGGCAGCCCTAGCAAACTATTATACTTACCACTTAACAAATAATATGATCAGTTTTTCTACTTGATTATGACTCAAGGCTTTGCTTTGACTCCTAAGTTCTACTCACTCCTCAGTTTGGTAAATGGGTAGAGAAGCAAAATATTTGATTTGTGTCCTAATTTTTTCACTTAAGTTGAATGACTTTTCTGACCCTTAGATTCCTTGTATATAAAATAAGGATATTGTCCCTACCCTACTTGTCTACCTAAGTAAAGCTTGAATAAGATACTGTGAAGAGCATGTAAAATGCTACACAAATCTCAGGTATCCTGAGTTCTTGCTCTTTGTTCATAATATGCTCTTTCTCTTGCCTAATTACAATAGAACCACCCTTAGAGGGCTCAGTTTCAGAATTCTCCACTTTTTAAAAAAGATTTATCTATTTATTTGAGAGAGAGAGAGAGAGAGAGCAGGGGGGAGAGAGGCAGAGGGAGAGGGAGAGGGAGTTCCAAGCTGACTCTGTGCTGAGCGTGAAGCACGACCCCAAGATCACGACGGAAGCCAAAACCAAGATTCGGATGCTTAACTGACTGTGCCACCCAGGTGCCCCCAGAATTCTCCACTTTTAAAAGAGAAATCCTTTCAATCTAAGACTTTATCTCACTATTTCTAGTTCAAGAGGCAGGATGTGAGGCAGATGATGAATGTGGGATGATGCTTCAAGCTTTTAACATTCTGACATCTCCAGAGGATTTAAAAGTAATTCCTCAAACAGTATATTTATTTTTATAAGAGACTAACATATGGAAACCAATTCTTTTAGAGAAAAGGCTTTTTAGAAATGCTTAAGAGAAGAAGAACTAATGGCACATCAAACTGCATTAAAAAATTGGGATGTGTATTGAATGAAATTTTAAAATTTGTAAAATTAAATGTGGAATGTTAGCAGTTTTTCAACATATTTTATATGTTCTGTCTGTTTTTAAAATGATTTTGTTAATGAGAATTTGAAAAACTGTTGTTTCTACAATAATTAGCACCTTTATAAAATTATTTATAAAAATATTACTTATTCCCAAAGACCTTACATTCTAGTTGTGTTGATTCTTATTCAGTTGCAAATGTTACTCAAAAGAACCAAATTTTTAAATGATTCTACCCTTTTCAGTTCTCTAGAATGCCTCCAGATGGCATTAGAACCCTTTTCCCATTATATTTTGCAGCACAAAAATTTAAAAATTAGTGCTATTTTAACCACTTAAGACTAGTCACATTCATTATATCATCAGAAATCATGACAGTAGGACTATTTGGAACTTTTAGGGCAATATCTTAAGAAAGACAAACATATAATTATATCCTTTATGAAATACATAGCCCTTCTATGGAAGCCAAAGGATCTTTCTAGACTGAGAAACAGATCTTGGACAAAGTAAGACATTCAATAATATCATATCACAAAGTGTGATTTCTAATGAGTAGCATTTTAGATGCTGAGTAATATGAGCACTGGCCTACATGTAGATAAATTCACAAAGTTGTCTTATAATAAGAAAATATATCTCACCCCTCAGAGTGATAAAAATGAAGATTCTTAAGAACCCACCTGATACTGATTCCTGTGAAGCTAAAGTAATCTGTTAATTTGTGAATTATTTAATTTAAACTCTGGTAGAAAAATCTGGTAGCAAATTAATCATTAAAAACCCATTTGGATTCTTTGAGTACTGAGAAGAAAAAGACAAAATATGGAGTGAGGAACACATGCTTTCCAAGTGCTTTTTCTTCTGTATTTAAAACTGCATTTGTTAATTCAAAAAAGTAACAAATTCTTGGGATTCCAGAGATATTTATAATCGTATTTTTCACATAATGCCAAGGTGAGGTTGTAGATGGCAGACTTTTAAAAATGACATTGGTATCGCACAGGTATGTAGGACAGAGTATCTCCCAGTATGTGTGAAAAGCCCTATAATTATTTGTGACAGTGCTGAAAGCCTCCAACAAAATTCTAAAGGGTTTGCCTCCTTTCTCCCTGACAATACACACCCTGAAGTATTATTACATTTCTATTTTATAAGAAGGTGTATTAGCATTTTTACGATTACTCTTACTGTGATAAAGCATAAGAAAGACCTCAAATTGCGTCTGCACCCAAAAGCATTTAAAAAGACATCATCATGAGAAAGAGAACCACAGGTTTCCTTCCATTATTATGGTTACTCTTACAAGATACTTGCACTGTTTCATATTACAGGCATATTATCTGGATAGAAACAGGAAAGCGACTTACGAGGTATTCGATGTGCCATTGTCTGGACTCTCTGGCTCAGCATCACCTTTCTCTTAAAAAGGAAGCAGAAAAAAAAATAACAACATGTGAGTGTTATGGTCTTTAAGATTTAAGAGAGATTAAATATATTTCCATGCTCCTATTAAAAATCTTTCAAAATGTGCAGGAGGAGGCTTTTAAAACATCTTTTTATTGTCTGAGAACCGGATTTGCAAGTAATTTCTTCTCTGTATTACAATTGCCCAGGCACAGATCTGTGAGTAGGTACTAAGGAGCTGTTTGCAAACAACCAGAGGTTCAGAGTGGAGACCTTGCCAAGAGATGAATATCTTGCAGATGGAACCTGTTTCCTTCCACTTCATTTTACAGAAAAAAATTTAAGGAAATAAACTCCATTAGCATTCTACAGGCAAGGCATTTTGAACTTTGATCCCTTCTGCTAACATAAGCCAAACCAGGACAGGCTGCGTAAGAACTTGGAGGAGAGAATTTTACAGGACACTAAGGTTGCACCGCAGCTCACAAGATCCCCCAAATTTCTACCCTGCTGAGAGCCCTGGCAGCACCTTTTGGGAACCCTGCTTTAATGCAGAAAAAGATGTAAGCCAGAAATCCTTCCAGACCATCTGAAAGTCTAGCTACAGAAATGTCTCTGCGGTCCCTTTAATTAAGGGAGCCTGGAACTAGTTCCCTTTTTATAGTTTTTAAAGGGCAAATTCTTCTAATACACATAATGTAATTCTTAGAACCTTGACCACTGAGGGTTTGAGCCATGCATCCTCATTTTGTAAGGTGCTTCTTTTTATTTCCTTGAGGCTAGGGGATGGAAGGAGAGGGGTCAAGACAGCAAGTGTGAGTCCGCTATGGTTATGATGGTTGTGTGGTGCTAAGAGTTGAGTAAACCCTAGAGCAGGTTGCGGGTTGTAAGAAATGGGCCTGATGGTAGCAACTTGCTTTGCTTTGTTCTTGCAAGTCAGGCCTGAACATATCGTAGAACCTCAGCTCTATGGCACTGTATGAGCCCCCTCTGACATTAGCTTTGTGGTCACCTCGTCTCAGGAATGATCCCCTACATTATGTGATGAACACATCCCAAAGATATCATCCAAACTGAACTCCAGAGGAAACTTCACAATTTCTCCTCTTTTTCTTTTAGGAAATTAAACAGTTGTGAGGAAAAGAAGGCACAGCTACTTACATAGTTCACACATCTATCTCAGATATAACTCAGTGTTAATATGTCTACACAGTGCCAGAGAAACCACGAGGGATAGTCACGTTGTTAAAAAGCCAAAAAACTGATTTAAGAGCCTTGATCACAAACACTGATGAGATGAAGCCCCAGTACAGATGAAACCATACTGAAATAAAAGTAGAGGCAGCAAATTCGCAAACTTGCTTTAAAGCTCATACTTTTATGCTCTATTTTTGTCTTCCAGGCCAGTCCAGGGTACACTTATGTAGGAGATATGTAAGGCCTCATCGGCTGGCTTTAGTGCTGGAAAATAACCTAATTTAGTACTTTCCAGAATCATTTTTCCGCTAAGTAACCACGATTGCTGCCAGAATCCCCCAATAAGAGCTGTAACACCTGCATTATGTAAGGCAAACCTAAATGGAGATTTAATCTCTCAATCATATTGATATTTTTTTTCCTTGAATTTGGAACAATTGGTTACTTTCCCAAGTCTATAGCCACCAGTAATAACCCCACACACAATCATAATCAAGAATGTAAAACAGCAAGTTCTGTAGCAGTAGGCAATGGTAAACAGTTCTAAACAACTTCTGTCGAAGACACAGGAAATCAATAGTACAAACAGAGACAATTATTTGGATGTCTGAAAAACTATGTTTTATCTTGACCAGCAATGCTGCCAAGTAACCTGTAGGATGGGAGGGCCCAGGCCTTACTGCACATGGGCTCTGGGGGCTGTAGGAACTGTGGGCTGGATCAGCGCAGGGAAAAAGCTACAGCTGATTACCTCTGCTCTTAGCAGCACTTACATTGTGGCAGCAGGGAAAACAGAACAGGAAGGACACAACGGGGCCAAACGGGGCATTTACAGCAACTTCAGTGCTGATAATGAATTAACCTTTCTGGGGAAGAGTAAGCTCCGAACGGAGACAGGGATTAAAGCTGTGCCTGTCGTTCAGAAAGAATAAAACGCAAAATTCTCCCCAACATCTGGAAATTTTAGGTGATGCAATTTCTGAGGTTCACTTGAAATGTTCAAGTGCATCAGCCATTAAGAATCATAGTCTCTTTATCAGGACACAAGGGGAAATAATAAATGTATACTAGAGAATTCCCAACAAAAAAATTCTTAGTTGGGTGCTCAGGAGATGCTTCCCTGCAGCCAACAAAGAAGACTGTCTTGGGTCACCCTGGTTATTTCAGCTGTTTTCATGATAGATACCACACTGGTCTCTTTGGAGGAAACCTGCATCGATCATTAAGAAACTGGACATAAAAGAATGGCTCAGGAGCAATGTGGCCATTTTGCACGTGGAAATATAATTACAGAGGGGAAGAGGGCAAAAAAATGAGCCACAGGATATATATATATATCTCCACGCACACGTAAATGCCTAGGTTCGTATACATGTATACTACATGCATACTTTCAATTTGACGCTCCATATCTGTCTCCTTGAGCCTTCCACCGCACCTAACACATACTCCATGCTCAGTATATGTCTTCTGTCTCATGACCTGCCAGGAATATAGAATCCCGGCTACAGGGGGAGAAGAGGAGAAAGGGGCACTCACCACTGAGATGAATACACGATTTGAGGTAGGAAACAGCTTGATGGCCCCGATAGGCCACTTAAAAAATTGCAGTAGCTACATTTTTCATCCAATCAATGCACTGAGGACTCATGCATTGGGCACTCTGGTAAGCATAAAGATAAATAATACCTAATTCATGCCCTTTAAACCCATAACGTGACTGCACTGCTGGAGTAGGCACTCTCCATCAACAGGGCTACGAGGTGGACTAAAGACCGTTGAAAAGGGACAAAATACACCTGCGTTAGGCTCTATTCTGCTGCAGAGGAAAGTTTTGCTATACCAGGACTTTTCTTTTCTTTTTTTAAATATTTATTTATTTATTTTTATTTATATTATGTTCAATTAGCCAGTATATAGTACATCATTAGTTTTTGATGTAGTGTTCAACGATTCACTTTCTTTATAACAAAAGTAACCCATGTTCATGGTAACGACTTGGCTTGCTTTTGTTTTTAGTTCTGTTAGCCCTTCAACCACTATGCTAAGCAATATATTTGTTTCTAGATATATCAGCTTTGGACAGTGTGTATTGATTTCTGATATAAAAGGCGAGAGATAAGGTACTTAAGATACTACCACCTCTGCTTACAATTCTTACTTTTAATGCCTCTAAGTGGGTTTTTAGAACTTTAAGTTTAACCTTCTATTTCTTGATTAATCAACTGCTGACAGTATCTTTTCCTTTATACTATGTGAAATGAGTGAATTTCCTCATTTATTCTTCTCTCCCTGCACCGCACACAACTCTGCACAGCTAAACCTTTCCTTCTACATAGCCAAGATTTAAGATATTTATATTCTGTTCAGCAATTATTATATTCTATTCAGTAATTTATATTCTGTTCAGTAATGAGTCATCCTCATTAATATTAGTTTAATTAGTAATTAATTTTTGGAACCACCTGTAGGCCCATTAGAAAAATTACAAACCAATAATTGGATTTATAGTATTATAATGATTAAATATTAGTCACTAAAGAACAAAGTAGTAAGACTGGATATGTACAGAAGGGAACATCACTAACTCTGAAGGCAAGTGTTCCTGGCATTTAGATCAAATGTATTTCCGTTCTTATACTTCATCATGCCACATGTTAATCTGTCTCAATGAAAGGCTATGCTTTTCCTAAAAAAATGTTGAACAGAGATGCACATGGGTGGCTCATTTGGTTAAACATCTGCCTTAGCTCAGGTCATGACCCCAGGGTCCTGGGATGGAGCCCTCCATTGGGTTCCCTGCTCAGTGGGGAGTCTGCTTTTCCCTCTCTCTCTGCCCCTCCCCCCTACTCACGCCCTCTCTTGAGCTCTCTCAAATAAATAACGTCTTTAAAAAATGTTAAACAGAGTATGCATTTAAGGTACATAAAATGCATATGTCTATGAAAGTGTATATACAGGTTTAAAAAGTTAAAATTAGTTAACTGTGAAAACGCCTTCCAGGCCAGGAAATGGGTATTGCCAAGAAATAACCCAGAAACCTCCTGGGCTTACATCCTCTTTCTGCCCTCCCCTCCAGCTATCTAGAAATGGAATTTTGTGTTAATCATTCCCTTTCTTTTTTTGATGTTTTTTCCCACCCAAGTATTTATTAGTAGATAAAAAATTCTAGTTTTTCCTGATTTTAAATTTTACATAAATGGAATCACACTGTATGCATTCTTCTGAGACTTACTTCTGTCATTCAATGTTACGGTTTTTAGCTTCAGCCATCACGATGTATTGTAGCATTGGTTCACTCATCCTCATTGTTATGCAGCATCTCCTTATAAAAATCTACCATGATTTTCTTATTCATTTGACTTTTGATGGACATTTATTTTTTCATTATGAATGATGTCATTACAAAAATTCATGAACTTCCTTCCTTGTGCACATGTTAGGAGTTCTGGTACATGGGGCTTACATATTCTTGACCTGGGGCTTACATATTCTCGACTTTACTAGGGAATCCTAAATTGGTTTCTAAATTACCTTATGGTTAAACTTTAAACGTTTTTTCCAACTTAATAATGTAAAATGCAATTTCATTGTGGTGTTTGCATTTCTGAGTGCCAATTCTCTGTGACACTCCCTGTCAAATTTTTTTTTTTAGGTTTTATTGTGTTCAGAATCTTTATTTTTTTTAAAGATTTTTTATTTTATTATTTATTTGATAGAGAGACAGTGAGAGAGAGGGAACACAAGCAGGGGGAGTGGGAGAGGGAGAAGCAGGCTTCCTGCTGAGCAGGGAGCCCGATGTGGGGCTCAATCCCAAG